CCCATCAGATTGGCCAACATGAAAAAATAGGAAAATGATAGATGTTGGAGAAGATGTGGGAAAATTGAAACATTAATGCATTGTTGATAGAGTTGTGAAATGATCCACCTATTTTGGAGAACAATTTGGAGCTATGGCCAAAGGGCTATAAAAATATGCATACTCTTTGACCCAGCAATAGCACTTCTAGGGCTGTGTATATCAAACAGATCATACAAATGGGAAAAGGACCCACATGTACAAAAATATTTATAGCAGCTCTTTTTGTGGTGGCAAAGAATTAGAAATTGAGAGGATGCCCATCAATTGGGGAATGGCTGAACAAGTTGTGGTATATGAGTGTAATGGAATACTATTGTGCTGTAAGAAATGATAAACAGGCTGACTTCAGAAAAACCTGAAAAGACTTGTATGGTCTGATGCTGAGTGAAGTGAGCAGAACCAGGAGAACGTTGTCCACATTAACAACCACATTGTGTGATGACTAACATTGATAGACTTAGCCCTTCTCAGCAATACAAGGATCTAAGACATCTCCAAAGGTCTCATGATGGAAAATGCCATCCACATCCAAAGAAAGATCTGTGGAGTTTGAATGCAGATCAAAGTATACTATTTGCTATTTTTTTCTTCTGTTTTGTTTTGTTTTTTCTTTCTTGTGGCTCCTCCTATTGGTTCTAATTCTTCCTTACAACATCACAAATGTGAAAATATGTTTAATAGGAATGTATATGTAGAGCCTATATCAGATTGTGTGCCATCTTGGGGAGGGAGGTGAAAAGGGAGAGGAAAAAAAATTTAAAACTCAAAAGCTTATGGAAGTGATTGTTGACAAATCAAAATGAATTAATTTTTAAAAATAAATTAAAAATAAGAAAAAAATGAAAGAGAAAAAAATAGATCAATGAATTAAGCATGCAACTAAAGAAAATAGAAAATGAATAAATTAAAAATTCTCAATTAAACACCAAAATGGAAATCCTAGAAATCAAAGGAGAGATTAATAAAATGGGAAGGTTTGTTGTTGTTGTTTTTAAACCATTGGACTAATAAATAAAACTAGGAGCTAGCTTTTTTTGGGGAAAAACCAATAAAACAGATAAACCATTGTGTTAGAGAAATCTGAAACAAAAATCTACTGCAAGAGTATGTGAAGGAAAGCCTTTATTATGCTTCTTGAAGGAAGTGTGCACACCGTACTCTAGTGGCACGTGTGCGGTGGTACAGAAGTAGAGTCAACTTTTAAATGGTTAGCAAAATCCATTCTCCTCCCATTTGAGCTGGGATTGGACCCACTGATTTAGGTTATGCTCTTCCTGAACAGCCCGTCCCATGTTACTCCTTGTCATGTTAATCCCTTCTGGTTCGTGAGTCTCATGTTCAAAAATGGCGGCTATCTCTGCCCTTGAGCTGAGTCAGCTAATATTCAATAAGCTTATTAAACAAGCACAGGGGAGAAAAGCCTTTGCCAGTTTGCTCCCATAGGTTGCAACCAATTTAGCCTCCAGGGCTCTTTCTTAAGGAACTAGCTGTTTTGCAGAATGTTTGGGGCACTTTCTGATTGGTTGAGGGGCTATCCACAAGATCTTGGAAGTCCTTCTCAGAATTCCTGTGTTCTGTTGTGGAAGCCTAACTTCTAATCTTTCCCACAACTTTAATTTGATTCAAAAAATAGAAAGAGTGAATGTACCACCAATGATGATGAAATTCAATTATGAGGAGTTATTTTGCCCAATCATATGCCAGTAAAACCAACAATCTAAGTGAAATGGATGAATATTTATAAAAATATAAATTGCCCAGTATAATAGGAGAGGAAATAGAATACTTAAATAACCCTATCTTAGAAAAAAAAAAGTTGAGCAAGCTTTTCACAAAATATAATACCCATTCCTTTAACAAAAAAAAAACGAACTAGAAAGCACAGAGTAAATAGAGCCTTTCTTAAAATGGTAAGTAGTATCTATTCAAAACCTGAAAGCCAGCATTATCTGTAACAAGAATAAACTTGGAGCCTTCCCAGTAAGATCAGGGTGAAGCAAGGATCTATTATCACCCCTACTATTCAATATTGTATTAGAAATGCTATCTATAGCAATAAAAGAAGAAAAAGAAATTGCAGGTATCAAAATAGGCAATGAGGAAAGGAAGCTATCACTCTTTGCATATGATATAACAGCATACTTAGAGAATCAACTAAAAAACTAGTTGAAACAATGAACAACTTTAGCAAAGTTGCAAGATATAAAATAAACCCACATAAATAATCAGAATTTCTATGTATTAGCAACAAAATCCAGTAAGAACAAATGGAAATTCCATTTAAAATAACTGCAGACAAAATACAATACTTGAGAGTCTATGTGAGGGCAGCTAGGTGGCACAGTGGATAAAGCACCAGCCCTGGATTCAGGAGGACCTGAGCTCAAATCTGGCCTCAGACATATAACACTTACTAGCTGTGTGACCCTGGGCAAGTCACTTAAACCCAATGCCAAGCCAAAAAAAAAAAACGAAAACAAAAACAAGAATCTACCTGCCAAGGCAAACCCAGGGGCTGTATGAACACAATTACAAAACACTTTTCATACAGATAAAGTCAGATCTAAACAATCGGAGAAATATGAATTGCTTATGCATAGATCAGTTGAGCCAACATAATAATAAAATGAATAATAAAATAATACAAATGACAATTCTACCTAAGTTAATTTACTTATTCAGTGCCATACCAATCAAGTTATCAAGGAATTATTTTAAAGAGCTAGAAAAAATAATAACAAAATTCATCTGGAAGAACAAAAGGTCAAGGATATCAAGGGAATCAATGAAAAAAAAACATGAAAGAAGGTGGCTTAGTAGCACCAGATTTCAAACTATGTTATAAAGAATTAATCATCAAAACAATCTGGTGCTGGCTAAGAAATAGAGCAGTGAATCAGTGGAATAGATAGGGTATGTAACACACAGTCATAAAAGACTCTAATAATCTAGTATCTGATAAACCCAAAGAGCCAAGCTTTGGGGGGCAAGAACTCCCCATTGGACAAAAATTGCTGGGAAAACTGGAAAGCAGTTTGGCAAAAACTAGGCACAGTTCAACATCTCGCACTGTATACCAAAATTGGGTCAAAATGCATAAACTTCAATATAAAGGGTGATATTGCAAGTATATTACAGGAGCATGGGAAAATGTACTTTTCAGATCTATGGATAAGGGAAGAGTCTATGACCAAACAAGAGAAGGAGAGGATCATGGTAGGTAAAATGGATAATTTTGATTAAATTAAAAAGTGTTTGCACAGAAAAAAAACCCCCTAAAACAGCCACAATTAGATGGGTAGCAGGAAACTGGAGGAAAAAAATTTTACAGCAAGTTTCTCTGATAAAGGCCTCATTTCTCAAATATTTAGAGAACTGAGCCAAATTTATAAAATAAGAGCAGTTTTCAGAAGAAATCAAACCTATCAATAGTTACATTAAAAATGTTTCAAATCATTATTGATTAGAGAAATGAAAATGAAAACAACTCTGAGATACCACCTCACATCTATCAGATTGAGTAACACGACAAAAAAGGGAAATGGCAAATGCTGGAGAGGATATGGAAAAAAAAAGATACATTGTTGGTGGAGTTGTAAACTGGCTAAACCATTCTGGAGATCAATTTGGAACTATATCCAAAGGACTATAAAATTGTGCATACCCTTTGACCCAGTAATACCACTACTATACTACTATCCCAAAAAGGTCATTAAAAATGGAAAATAATCCGTTTGTACAAATATATCGCAGCTCTTTTTGTGATGGCAAAGAATTGGAAATGAAGGGGATGTTCATTAATTGGGGAGTGGCTGAACAAGTTGTGGTATATAATTGTGGTGGAATACTATCGTGCTATAAGAAATAAGGAGCAGGATGGTTTCAGAAAAACCTAGGGAGACTGATACGAACTAATGCAGAATGAAGTGGGCAGAACCAGAACACTGTACATTGTTACAGCAATATTGTAATGATGATCAACTGTGAGAGACTTAACTACTCTGTTCAAGACAATGATCCAAGACCATTTCGAAGGACTCCATTTATTTCTCCCTCTAGAGAGAAAGCTCATTAATTCTGAATGAAATTGAAGCAGCCTTTTTTTTTAAACTTTCTTACTTTTTCTTGGGGTTTGTGTGTATGTTTTCCTTTGCAACATGTCTAATATGGAAATATGTTTTGAAAGATTTCATATGTATAATTGATATCATATCGTTTATCTTCTCATGGGGTGGGGAGCAGGAGGGAGGGAAAGCATCAGAACTCAAAATGTTAAAAAGTGATTGTTAATTTTTTTTAATTTAATTGGGAAATATTTCATGAAATACACACACACACACATACACACACATCACCTCTAGTTGGCTTTGTTAATTGTCCAGATTTTGTGCATTGATAGACTTTATCGACAGCATGGACTTTTTTTTTTTACTGGCCTTCACTCCAGTTCTTGTCTCCAGTGAAATCCTGAGCCTGTGGGGGATGAACAGCATTGGAAGATGGGGGTTGAAGTTTTCATAGCTTGTCAGGGTCAGAGGAAAGGAGGGGCTGAAAAAATAGCGAATCTTTTCACCTGGTGGAAGGTGCCAGAGAAGACCCCTCATCTGGGCACTTCCTGTGTCCATTGTTCCATAGGTGTGAGTCTTAACATCACCAACCAAGACTACTGGAGCTCCTCAGGATGAAGACGAGGTGCTGTCTCACCAGCAGCATAGGCTGGTCACAGGTTCATTTCCCAGTAAAGAATCATTAATGGATTGGCTGTTAACTTGATTGAGAGAGGCAGGTGAAAGAGGGATGCCTCAGAGTGGGAAGGGCTGGGCTGTGTGCTCCCACAGGTGTGAGCAGTCTGTGCCCCCCCTCCCCTATGGGTATAAACAGGCCCTTTTCCGAAGGGAAAACCTGGACGCCGGATGAGCCCAGGCTGTGGCTGGTGGTTTTGGCTCCTGCTTTAGCATATGGCTGAGAGAGGCTGTCTGTGGCCCACTCTCCGGAGTGCTATGACTCGTGGGTGCTCCAGCCTTCTCCCTTTCCCTCTTCTTCTGCTCCTGATGCTTCCTGGGGCTTCCTGGCAGGCTCCCCGTTTTCACCAGCCTGTGCAGGTACAGTGCCTGGAGTCCATTATGGTGGTCACTGTTCAAAGAGATCTGTTTGGCACTGGGAAGCTGGTCAAAGCAATGGACCTCAGCCTGGGTGCAGAGGGCTGCAAGCCTGCAACTTTGCCAGAAGATGCCCAAGTGATCACCTTTGAGGTTGGCCTCCATAAGTGTGGCAATGTTGTGCAGGTAAGTCTACATCCCTCTCCCTTAGGGAAATGTGTGCGTGTTCCCCTAGGTACCAACACTGCTCAATCAACTGCTATGAACTGCCTGTCTCATGCTTGGGAGCACCAGAGATAGCCTCCTAGAGCCTCCTAGGGCCTGCCCCAGATCTGGGGAAAGACTTCAGCCAGACTCCCACTTTCTGGAGTGATCACAGAATCATAGACTTAGAGGACATCCATCCAAACACCCCCACTTTACAGATGAGGAAACTGAGGCCCAGAGTGGTGACTTTGGGTGAAAAGGTCAGAGCTCTAGAACTGGAAACAACCTTAGTGGTCATCCAGATCCCTTCCTTTTACAGATGACACAGCTGAGGCTCAGAGGAGTAAAGTGACTTACCCAGGGTCACTCAGCTAGGGAGTGAGTGAGAAAGGGAACAACAATAATAATAGCTAATAGTTATATAAGGGGGCTAGGTGGTGCAGTTGATATAGCATCAGGCCTGGAGTCAAGATGACTCATCTTCCTGAGTTCAAATCTGGCCTCAGACACTTAGTAACTGTGTGACCCTGGGCAAGTCATTTCACTCTGTTTGCCTCAGTTTCCTCATCTTAAAATGAGCTGGAGAAGGAAATAGCAAACCAATCTTTTGCCCAAAAAACCCCTAAATGGGATCACAAAGAGTCAGACACAACTGAACAACAAATGTGCCAAGCACTTCACAATTACGATCTCATCTGATCTTCACAAAAATCCTGGAAGGGAGGCACTCTTCTTTTATTCCCATTTCACAGAGAAGAAAACTGAGGCAGGTGGGTTAACTGACTTGTTCAGGGTCACACAGCCAGTGAGTGAGTGTGGGGAAAGAAATGGTATGGGAAAACTGGGAAAGGAACAGACTTTGAAGCTCCCCCCAATGTCCATATCAAAAGTCTAACCTTTATTTGGTAGGAAATGGGGAGCCAGGTGCAGTGCTTAAGTAGAAGAGTGTTATCAATAGTGTGACAAGTCAATTCCTTCTGGGCCTTGGTTTTCTCAGCTGCAAAAACTGGGTTTTGGATGAGCTCACTCCAGTCTCTTAGCACTGCCATTCTACAGGCCTACACTATCTCCTCCATTTGAAAAGGAAAAGGTGGTGGTCCTGCCTTCAAGGGGATTGGAGTCTAATTGGGGAGACCAGAAGGAAATATGCAAAGACCTGAGCTAATTACTAAGCTGTGTAGATTACCCTAAGTGAGCTCGGGGAAGGCTTGAGCCTAGAGCCGGGCTGGAAGGGATGAGAAGAATCTGGGCAGGTGAAGGAAGGGCTCCCATTTAGAGAGGCCAATGTCGGCCAAGACCTGGAGGAAGGGATGCCTATGGCAGGCTCGATTTCTGTTGTGTTGGGGAGGGGAGATGGTAATTATCGGTCTAAAGTCTGGGCCATGGACAGGAGTGTGGAAAGACTACTTGGAGGAAAATGGGGCACTCGGGGCAGCTGGGTGGAGCAGCAGATAGAGCCCCAGCCCTGGAGTCAGGAGGACCTGGGCTCAAATCTGGCCTCAGACAAGGTTAGCTGCGTGACTCTGGGCAAGTCACTTCATCCTCATTGCCTTAAAAAAAAAAAAGTAAAATGAAAAGTAGAGCAGCGGTAGAGTGCTTCTCATTCATGCCCTCTTTACATCGCGCTGTGACTCTTCTGAGAGCATCTCTCAATTAGCTTTGCTTACAGTCTCTTCCCTCTGCAATCTGTTTTGCACAGCTGTTAAAAATCACCTTTCTAAGGCTCTGACCTTCCAGCTCCCTTTCTCCAACCTTCCAAGGCTACCCATTGCCTCTAGAATAAAACACAAACTCTCAGCCTGCCATCTAAAACCCAATCCACAATCCAATCTACTTTTTAAGCCAAACAACTGTTAGAGCTCCCCTCAAGTCTGCATTCTACCTCCTATTTCCGTGGAGTCATACCTTCACCCGTCCTCTGGAATATGTTTCCACCTCAGCGCTGCCTCCAAAGAATCCAGGTTTTCTCCAAGGCTGAGCTCAGGAACTTTCTTCGGTGATGACTTTGCTTCTAGTCATCTGGGCAGGTTCCCTTCTCCCCACCACATTCAGAAGAATGAAAACCTCTGGAGGGCAGGGACTCTGCTTTCCTCTGAGTCCCCAGAATTGAGCTCAGCGTTTGCCATATAACTGGCACTTAATGTCTTATTTAGTGATACCTTTAACATTTTTTACACTGGCTTTATTTCTGGAAACGACTTTCTGCTACTCAGAATGTAAAGAAAGTGGTGGAGGGGCAGTGGAGGGGAGAAAAAAAATCAACCAAGCACATAAATGATATCTGAGTATGGGTAATATTTCACATCTGTAGTCCCCCACCTCTGGAAAGAGAGGAGGTGCATTTTCTCAACTCTTCTCTGGGGTCAAATTTGGTCATAGTTGTGAAACATGCAGTTTCAAGTGTTTTGTTAGGGTTTTTAAAGATTTTTTTTTTTTGCTTGACCCCTCAATGAGGGGGGTAGGGGAGTGAGAAATTGGAACTCAAAATTTGAAAAAAAAGTTAATTGTTTTTACATGTCTTTTTCCCCTTAATATTTTTTCCAAATTACATTTTTTTTAAGAGGATGGGGGGGGGAAGGGAGGAGAAACTTGGTGACCCTATCTAGCCGAGGCTGGAAGTTCAAAGTTTAAAGACAGTTTGAAACAGAAACTTTGACTCTTTTTTTGTTTCCTACCTGGGCCAGTTTGCCCCTCCTTAGGCATCCTGGTAGCCTTCTACTCCAGGGACTTACCTTGACCTAGTATAGACACCCCATCAGTTTCTCCTTACAGGAGCTTGAAACACCCCAGCTCAAGAGATCCAGTGAATAGAGCACCATGCCTGGAGTCAGGAAGACCTGAATTCAAATTTGACCTCAGACACTTGCTGTGTGACCCTGGGCAAGTCACTTCACCCTGTTTGCCCCAGTTTTCTCACCTGTAAAATGAGCAGGAGAAAGAAATGGCAAACTCCTCCAGTATCTTTGCCAAGAAAACCCCAAGTGGCAGCAGGAAGAATCAGACATGCCAGAAAAATAATAAAACAACGAAGCACTTTAAGATTTGAAAAAATGCCTTACCTCATTTCATCTTCATAAAAACCTCACGAAGGAGATGCTACTAATTTAGCCTCAGTTTTATAGATGAGAAAAGCAAGGCTGAGAAAAGTTAAGTGACTTGTCCAGGGTCATACATGTAGTAAGTACCTGAGGCATGATTTGAGCTCCAATATTCTTGACTCCAGGCTCAGCCTTTGGCTGTCACCTAACTAGCTGCCTCGATCACTGCAGATCAGCACCTGCTGGGAGGTTGAGGGTCAGACCTCAGATGAAGAGACTGAGATTTAATGATTTGACCATGGTTACAAAGCTAAGAAGGTTCAGAGGCCGGATTTGAACCCTTCTCCTTCCTGACTTCCAAACAGGACATAACTCTGACCCTGCACCATTGCTTCTTCATACTGTCCACAACTTCTCTGGGCTATTAGACTACAGCCCTTTGGACTGCCTCTGCCCATTCTTACACATGTATTAGCCTCCTTTCTCACCTAATTGTGCTTCTCTGGGACTTTTCTGACTTCCCAGCCCCAAGAAGCTAATTATCGGAGAAACCTCTTCAGCCTTGGAGTTCTACCTCATTGCTACCCTCTGCTTCTCTGACTAGAGCTGACTCCAAAACCCCATTTAAGGAGCGAGCTTGACTCGGAGCATTTCCTTATTTTTTCACTTGGTTGTGCTACTTTGGAACTTCTCTGATTTTTCTGTAGTGCCCCCCTCCCCCCAGCACCTTCTGTCCCCACCCCCCACTTCAGCTTTCTTTTGCTTGTTGGCTTCTATTAGATTGTAAGCTTTTGAGGTCAGGGACTTTTTTTTATTTGTAGCCCCAGCTCTCAGCAAAGTGCCTGGCACTTTTGTGAGATTAATAAATGTCGATTGATTGATGCAATTATCAGAGAGTTACAACATCTCAGATCCTGTTTTCTCATTTGCAAAATAAATGAAATGGGTCTCACGGGTTTGGTGTGACGAATGAGTGTTGTAAGACTTAGAGCACTGTCAAATTTTGGCTTGTATGTAATGAGGATGAATAACTACATGTAATAGAACTTTTGGCTATGCTACACTCACATGTAGCAACCCTATAAAGGGGGTGTCCCACAAAGTATTTCTCAAGTGCCCCTGGAGGGAAGAATACCAAATCTTCACTCCTTAGCCAGCTAGCTACTTGACTGCTACCATGTTAATTCTCTCACCAGGTTCAAAGGAAATCCAGGGCTATGGTATGGGTTAAGGCTTGTTTGGAGGGAGGGTATTTAGGGGACCTCATACGTGATAAGTACTCAGAATCTTAAAGTAAAAACCACATTCAACTGAACATCTAACTTTCTATAATGGAACCAGCTAAGATAAAGGTTAATTAAGGCTCTTCACTGTTTCTTCTTCCAGGTAACTCCAGATGGACTGATATACAGCACAAGCTTGTTCTACCGCCCACGCCCAGTTGGAAATTTTACCATCTTAAGGACTAATCAGGCAGAAGTTCCCATTGAATGTCACTATCCTAGGTCTGTATCAGACGGCAGCCAGCTTGCTTTTTCTCTTTCTAAAGACAGAGCTCACTAGGCAGACTGACTCTTCTCTCTCTAAATCTCAGCTACTCAAATCTTGAAATTCCTAAGTGTGCCCCTCAGCAAAACAGAGTAAAGAAAACAAACAAAAAACCAACCTTATCTAGTGTCCTCCCTCCTTCCTATACTTTTTTTCTTTGTTTTTTCCATAGCTACCTATCACATGGTCTAGTTCCCTAAGACCTTGCTGCCAATTTCCCTACTCCTTTTTACCACCCTTGCTTATTGTCCTCGGCCGGGAGTAGGGAACATGTGGCCTTCTAGGTCTTCAAGTGCAGCCCTTTGAATCCAAACTTCAGGGCAGCTGGTGGTGCGGTGGATAGAGCACTGGCCCTGAAGTCAGGAGGACCTGAGTTCAAATCTGACCTCAGACGCATAATACTCACTAGCTGTGTGACCCTGGGCAAGTCACTTAACCCCAATTGCCTCACCAAAAAAAAACGCCAAAAAACATGAATCCAAACTTCATAGAACAAATCCTGTTAGATTCAGTCAAAGGGCTGGGACCTCCAGGCCACAGGTCCCCCATCCCTGTCCTTGGGTAACTCTATACTTACCTTAACTAGGAGTCCCCCTGTTAAGACACAGAAGTGTTGTTCAAGGTTCTGCCACCAGATGATAGAACCGGAACTTGGCTTCCCTCTCCTGGTCCTATTACCAAAAAATAATCCACAACTTTTGTAGAATCAGGAGAAGATCTTGGGCCTATCTAGTCCAATCCCTTCCCCTTACAAATAAGGAAACTGAAGTTCAGAGAGGTCAAGACTTGTCCAAAGTCTCAAAGGTGGGCCTTGAGCACAGATTTACCTGACTGGCCAGCTCCATTTTGACTTTGTAAAGTTAGCTTCACACCGTGAAGTTGCTTGCCCAGTATCAGCCATGGTACCAGCCAGGGGAGTGTTCCTGGAGGCCCTGCTGAGGGCAGAGTCGCCCACCAAGACTCTTCCCTACCCTCTGAGAAGATGGAGGGGAAGCAAAGGTACCTAAGGAGCCTAGAATTGTTCTCAGATTTCTTTTAAGTGGTTGAAAATGCTTAAGAGGACCCAACCCCTGAATGGAAGGTGGGGGAAATGTTCTGGTCCCAGGCTGAAGGGCATGTGAGTACTGAAACTCCGATAACTTCTTAACCATGATCCATACTGTAGTTATGGCAAGAGGGTGGCATATCAATCAGGGTTGTTTTGTTTTTCAGAAAATAGGCCTTGCAAGGATTGTTAGTGTGTCTTCCCTACTGATATATTCATACTTCTTTTTATTTAAAAATTTTATCCATTATGAGGTTTTTTTTCCATCTGAAAAATGGGAATATCTAAGCAGAGACCCACAAGGTAGCCTGGGAGAGAAGAAAAAACTACCGATTTAAAATCGGTATTTGAGTCTTGGCACTGTTGCTCTGTGTGACCAAAGGCAAGTTACTTTGCTCTGATGAGCCTCAGTTTCCTCATTAATAAAATGGTGAATAATCTGCCAAACACGGTTGTTGCAGGTTATTATATTTTATATGGCCTAAAGGAGTTTATGTTCAGTTGTGTCCAACTCTTTGTGACCCCATTTTGGGGTTTTCTTGGCAAAGATACTAAAGTAGCTTGCCATTTCTTTCTCCAGATCATTTGACAGATGAGGAAACTGAGGCAAACAGGGTTAAGTGAGTTGCCTAGGATCAATAGCTAATGTCTGAAGACAGGTTTGAACTTGAGAAGATGAACCTTCCTGATTCCAAGCCCAGTGCTCTATGGTGCCACCCAAAGGGCTTTGTTGAAATGAGCTATTGAGTAGCTTGCTGAAGGTTAGAGGCAGAGTTGAGAAGAAACCCAAAGTGAGATGTCTAATTGAAGAGTTCTTAACCTTGTTGTAGTCATAGATCCCTTTGGTAGTCTGAGGTCTAGACAACTTCTATTGAAATAGACTAACAAAATATTTTTTTAAAAATCCAAATTCACAGGCCCCAGGTTATGATCACCAGATATAACCTGGATGAAGATCCCAGCAAAAGACTGAGAAGGAGCAGTTAAACATGTAGGAGGAGAGCCAGGAGAGAGAGCAGTCTCACAAGAACCTAGAGAGAAGAGGGGGATGGACAGTGTTGAAGGATGAGGTCTGAGAAAAGGTTGTTGGAACAATTAAAGGGGCGGGGAGACGAAGCGTTTATGTAGAACCTACACTGTGCTAAGTGCTTTACGAATTTTATTTGAACCTTGCAACAGCTCTTAGAGGTAGGTGTTGTTATTACAATTTACAACTGAGGAAACTGAGGCAAACTGAGGTTTAAGTGACTTGTCCAGGATAGCACAATTAGTGAGGCTGGATTTGAACTTGGGTCTTCCTGACTCCAAGTCCAGAACCACCTAGCTGATAGTAACTTGGAGAAGAGGGTTAGAATTGAATGAGAACAGAAGCCGATTGCAGAGAGTTAAGAGTGAGAAGAAAGGAAATAGAAGCACCTATTGTAGATGACCTTCTCAAGGAGTTCAGCTTTAAGAGGAGAGAGCTAGGACAATGGCCAGCAGGAGTAGATAGATCCAGTGAAAGGTTTTGGAGGGTGGGGAGAGGTGGGCATGTTCCACAATCCTCCAGGTAAGCTCCATGGTGTGGGTTGGGCTAGGTAGATATGCTATGTCTCCTTCCAGGTGGAGCAATGTAAGTAGCAGAGCTATCCAGCCTACGTGGGTGCCCTTCAGGTCCACCATAACTTCAGAAAACAAGTTTAACTTTTCTCTCCACCTGATGAATGGTAAGATGAAGGGGTTGGGGATAAGAGGAGAGGAAAGGAACTCTATCCACCTCATACACACAATCCTCTCATCCTGTTCTAATTTGTATGTGAAAATGTTCATTGTTTTATATCCAAGTTCAGAATTTTTAAAAAAAAATTAAAAAATTTCTTAAATGTTGACCCTGCTTTCTCAATGTATGTGTATAATATGGTCATCCTGCCTTCCAGATGACTGGACAGCAGAGAGTACCTCGGCTGAGTTCCACCTGGGTGACACGGCCCACCTTCAGGCTGAAGTCCACAAAGGTAACCACATGGACCTGAAGCTCTTTGTTGACAGCTGTGTGGCCACACTGAGCCCAGACAAGAACTCGGAGCCCCGTTATGGAATCATGGATTACCACGGGTAAGTATCCCATTCCTTCAAGCTCGAACATCCCTCTGGAAGAGTGTTTCCTTCAGCATCTTCTTGTCCTTCTAGGTGTCTGGTAGATGGTCTTTCTGACTCTTCTTCAGCCTTCAGAGCCCCCCGGCCTAAGCCAGACACTCTCCAGTTCACAGTGGATGTGTTCCACTTTGTCAATGATTCTCGGAAACTGGTAAATACACTTTCCTATACTGAGAGTAAACGAGGTGGTCATATCTTCTGTTCTTCCCCAATACCTGACTTCTTCTCCTAGATATATATTACATGTCACCTGAGGGTCACTGCTGAAGACCAAGCCCCAGACCAAATCAACAAGGCCTGTTCCTTCAACAAGTCTACTAATAGGTGAGTAGGTCTGGAGAGTAGGAGCAGGGAGGGGCCTAGATCTCTAATCCATATTCCTAAAGCCCAAGACTGACCATGTCCTTCCAATGGCTCCCCATTGCTTGGGAACAAATCCATATTCCTCTGCCTGATATGTAAAGCCCTTCACAGCTTGGCCCCAACCTATATTTTCAGTCACCTTATACATTCCTCCCCTTCATACAGATTCTATGGCCTTAATGTTCTTCACACACGGTGTGCCATCTCCCATCTACTTCCCTTTGCAGTTCCAACTTTTTTTAAATTGCTGGTTTCCTTCAAAACTCAGCTTAGAAACCTTCTTCATAAGTCCTTGTCTGATTGGGCTCCTCATCCCCCAACTACCTTATCTGCATAAAACAATGATCTCTGTCCAATAGGATATGTTTGAGGACAGACAAGGACTGTTTTACATTTCTGTATCCCTAGCACACAGTAAACACTCCATAAATTTTTGGAGTAAAAACAACCTTTCTTCTCCCCTCATTTCCACCCGTCTCTTTCCCCAGCTGGTTTCCAGTAGAAGGACCTCCTGACATCTGCAGATGCTGCAACACTAAAGACTGTGGAAACCCAAACCAGTCCAGGAGACTACTTCCTATCTCTGCAAAGCTGTTCCAACAGCAACAAAGTAAGGTGTATGTGAAGATAGTTAAGGGCCCCCAGATCCTTCATCCTTAGCTCATCCCACCCATGCCAGGACTGGTCTAGAAACATAGTTCTCAAGTGTGGAGCCAGCACTCCTAGGACTCCATCTCTTGTGAGATGGCTTATAATTACCAAGCACTGGTAATAAAGTAGGATGATCTGGGTTCAAATTCTGATTCTGTTACTACCTGGACAGGTTGCTTTAATTTCTACTTCCCAGGCCTTTGTTCACTCCTCTGTAAAAATGAGGTGCCTGGATAGATAGCCTCCAGGTTCTCCTCCAGCCCTGAAACTGTTATTCTTACTCGGTCTAAATTTGGCAAAGGCTAGTAGGGCACCAAGCCCTACTCTAAGCCCAGTCATGAGGTCTTATTTTCTTTCTCTCCACCCGCAGTGAGAGAAGCAGACATCACAGTTGGGCCTGTGTTCTTGGCAAGGAATGTCAGTCGCCACACCCCATGGGAGCCCAACCCGGATTTCGTGGAAAAGTACGCAGCCCTAAGCCTGGGCCTGTCTCTGATTGCTGTCTTGGTTTTTACCTTAGTCATCATGGCCTTGATTCTCCTCTGTAGGAAGCACAATGGTGCTTCTTGATTTGTCTGCTAGCCAATAAAAAGAAAAAGACTCTTAATGTCTGACTGGTGTAGTGAATTGGTATTAATGGGCCAGTCTAGAGATTACAGAGCTCCGTTCTCAGGTTGGTCACTTAAAATTTGCCCTGGGCTGATCTGAGTAGAGTAGGGAGAGCAACTCCCAGTCCATCTTAAATAAAATCATGTATTTGGGGTGGCGGGGAGGTAGAGAGACAGGGTAGAAAACATTTCATTTGTGCCCTAGTCCTAGGAATAGGACCCTTCTTTGCTAATCCACAAATGAGCAAACTCGATCATATTCTCATTTCTGCCTGAACCATGAATGCCCCATATAATGTCCAGAGAGGTTTCAATGCCTCTAGGTAAAGAGAGTTCACTACTTTATCATTGTAATAGCCATGGGAAAGATGCTTTGTTCCTGCCCCTTTGAACAAGGATTCATTTCATGAGATCATAGATATAAAAGTAGAAAGATTTTAAGTCTCTTCCAGGGAGGGTAACCTGCTTGATTTTTTTTTTTTTTACCAGAGAAGAAAACTGAGGACCATAGAAGAACTTACTTGGGGTTATATAGTGATAAGTATCTAAGACAGGATTTGAACCCAGGTCTTCTTGAACCCAAATCCAGTGTCCTGTCCATGCATTGATGTCTTACAGGTTTTGTTTTAAAATAGACCTCTTGAAGGTACCTGGGATCCTCCTTTGAAGAAGGATATCTCATTCTTTCTTGAGTCATACTCTGCAACTAGCCAGTTATTTGGCCAATCTGTGGCTTAATCTTGCAGACCTGTATCATCAAACAGCCATAGGGACTAATGTCTGGCACAGGGGTCTGTATATTTGCCACTAGCTTCAGACTAGTTGCCGATAGGATGGGGTGAGAGGTCTTCTGTTTTCTTCTCATCATTGGGAGAATGGGGCTTGACTAGATGTACCCAGACTGAAGTTGTGATAAGGAAGCATCATTAGGGAAAGATTAAACAGAGGGCCACTAAGACCAGATCCTCTTCTTGGGGGCCTGAGAGTTCTCTCCTGCTCAAACATAGCAGCTTTGTCATCTAGAGCTGAGTACCCGATTTCTGCAAAGACAAATGATGATTTTGAGCCAGCTGGCATGGTGTTGAGAACACTGGATGGGGTTCTAGTTGAGCTTCCCCTCCCCCTCTGAGATCTTGGGCAAATAGCTTTACAGATCTGAGCCTGATTTCTCCCTCTGTAAAACAGGGACTGGCATCACTATGGTGACCTAAGACCACAGGGTATAAGGGAAAAGGTGCTGGATTTGGAATTGGAAGGACTTGGTTCAATCCCCACTTTGTTACTTCCTACCTACAGGACTAGGGCAGATCACTTGATCTCACGGGGCCTCAGTTCCTCATCTGTAAAAATGAGTGTTGGAACAAATGGCCTAAAAGGGCCATCTCTTTCAGCTTTAAAATTGATACTAAGGTTCATGAGTGTAGCAGGTACATCAAGGTATTTCCCCAATCACCTTGACTGAATGGGGAGGCTGATGAACCTTGGGGACTTTGTATCTTGCCAAATAAGGTATAAGCATGGCCCTTGGTGGTCTATGGAGTATAGCCTGCAGTAACCAGGGTTGGATTATTTTCCTGGGATTGTTCTGGGAGAGCTCTTCCTTTCCTATTGTCCTATTAAAAGGTAGTTTGGTAGCAGACACTTGACCTTTTCTGAGCACAGGTGAGAGGCCTCAGAGAAAACTCTGGTCTTGGGGTAGAGGTGGTCCTGCCCAAGAGGTGGTAGCAGCATCTTGGTCTTCTAACATTAGAATGTTGAGTGTGCCTGGGCCCAGAGTCTTTAGAACCTTCCTTCTTATTGGCACAAAGGAGTGGCTCCTCTACTATGGTCTGCCCATCAATCTATCTACCATCAATCCCCAAGACCCATGATGCTCCAAGAGACTTGTCTACGCCCTCTTTAGGAAGACACAAAGTCTTAAGCAAAGGGTCCCCATTTTACATGTTTGTCAATTTGATTAGGAAACTCTCCTGATCAACTCTCTTCTCCCACTGCACTGCCCTTTTACAAAGGGATGAGTTGGAATTTGGCCCAAAGAAGTAAAGTCATTTGTTCAGGGTTACAAGGCTAGGAAGTTTCAAGCTGGCATTCAGATACATATACTGATGTCAATTATCAACTCATCTATAAATAACTTCAGTTCTTGGGATCATAGATTTAGAGCCAGAAGTTTACCTCAAAGGATATGGAGTCCAAACTCCTCATTTTAGTTAGGGGGAAACTGAGGCACATGGAGGTAAAATGACTTGCCCAAGGTAGTAAGTAGCACCACTGAAGCCCAAACCCAGGTATTCTTGCTTCCATGTAGTTGATCTCTTTCCTGGTAGAAAACGGAGGATACACCATAAGACATGAACATCTACTGTGCTGTGCATTGTGGAAGCTACCAAGGAAATCTGTATCAACCTATGCCCTCAAGAGGCTTATAATCTAGTTGTGGAGACAGTTGTATGCCACTGGCCATTGTTACTTAAAGCTGCAGTAGAAAGGGCACTGGAGGCTCAGAGTATGGGAAGGATATAGGCCTGTAATCCCTGCTACAGGGGGAAACTGAGGCTGGTAGATCACTTGTGGTCTGCAGTTCTGAGCTGCAGCAGGACTAAAGCTGATAGAACAGCCCTCCAGAGCAGGAAGCCACCAGGCCTCCTCATGAGGGGTGAGCCAGCCCAGGTTGGAAACGGAGAAAGTCACAGTCTCCAAGCTGATCAATGGGATTGGACTCCTGAGTAGCCACCATACTTCCAATGCTGGTGAGATAGGGTGACCTAGTCTCACAAAAAAATGAAAAAGAAAATATAGGAAAAGAAAGAGTTGGTTTCTAGTTCCGAGTCTGAAACTTATTAGCTATATGGTTTAGGAAAACAAAACCTCAGAGTTTTATGCCCCAAAGAGATCACAGGAAGAAGAAAAGGACCCACGGACAAACATTTATAGCAGCCCTCTTTTGGAGGGGAGGGGGTGGTGGTAAAGAATTGGAAATGAGAGGATTCCCATTAATTGGAGAATGGTTGGACACAAGTTATAGGATGTGAATATAATAGAATACCGAAGGAGGGGCAGCTAGGTGGTGCAGTGGATAGAGCTCCAGCCTTGGAGTCAGGAAGACCTGAGTTCAAATGCAGCGTCAGACACTTGACACTTACTAGCTGTGTGACCCTGAGCAAGTCACTTAACCCTGATTGCCTCACCAAAAAGCAAAAAAGAAAAAAAAATGATGAAGGAGGTGGTTTCAAAAAAACCTGAGGAGACTTATCCGAAATGATACCAAAATAAAGTGGGCAGAACCAGGAGAATGACTTATACAGTAACAGCAATACAGTAAAGATAATCAACTTTGAAAGACTTAGTAACTCTGATCAACAAAATGACCAGCCACGTTTCCAAAGGACTCATGATAAAATACGCTATCCATCTCCAGGTAGAGATGATGGATTCAGAGTGAAGCTTGAAGCACATTCTCTCTCTCTCTTTCTCTCTCCCCCTGCCTTCCCCCCTTTCTCCCCCATCTTTCTTTTCTCTCCTCTCCCATGTCTCTCTCCCCCTCCCTCATCCCTCGAGGCACAGAGATTTAAGTGACTTATGCAGATTCATATACCTAGTTAGTATTGAAGGTAGCATGAGGGTGAGGCCCTGACTTTTACAGTCACCCAATCAATTTTCTTCCAACTGTTCCCGTCACATGCTTTCCGTATTACCAGTCAACCAAGCAAACCAAAAGGGAAATGAACCAACCCTATCGGGATTTTTCCCCTTAAAGATTGTTCTCTCATGGACTGAAAAAAACCTTCAGCTCAAGGCCATGGGGCCAAGTCAGTGCTGGGGCAGCCCCAGGATCTGGCATGATGTGGGTAAAAGGTCATTGGGTTGTGTCAGAAGACCTAGGTTCTAGTTTTGGTTCTTCCATTCCCTCTAGACCAGGGGGTTCATAAATTGGTGTCCACAAACTCAGAAAAAAGCACTTTGATCACCATATTTAAGTTTAATTGGTTTCCTTTATAATCCAATGTATTTTATGTAATGCATTTAGAAACCTTCTGAGGAGGGGTCTACAGGCTTCACCAACTTACCGAAGGGGTCCATGACCAGGAAAAGGTTAAGAATTCATGATCTGGATCATCTCTAAGATCTACCCCAAACCCTCAGTTCTAACAATCTGAAATCCTAAGGTGGTGCAGCTGTGGATAGAGCACTTGCCCTGGAGTCAGGGGGACCTGAGTTCAGATCTGCCCACAGATACTAGCTGTATGACCCAGTACAAGTCACTCAACCCCAAGTGCCTCAAAAAAACAATAATGCCTGAACTGTCCATGCCCTTTGACCCAGCAATCCCACTGAGCATATGCCACTAGAAAGCCAAAGATAGATTCCCAGTACGCTAAAATATTTATAGCACGACTCTGTGGTTGCAAAGAACTAGAAGATGTGAATGCTTATCAACTGGGAAATGCTTGGAAAAAAATAAAAACCTGGTGTATAAATGTAGGACTGTATATAAATACACAGTCAGCAATGAATATGGGAAATTCTGAGTAAAGTAAGCAGAACTAAGGAAACAGTAGACCACAAACCAACAGATCACTAGAGGGAAGTTGAATTCTGAGCGCCTGAAAAACCAATAAATCCAGTCCTGGAGAGCTGTTCATGAAAGATGCCCCCTCTTCACCCAAGAGAGGTGGAAGACTACAAGGACAGACTACTGCGTATATGGTCAGAGGCAGTCACTGTACCAATCAGCAGGCGGTGGGGCAGGAAATGTCTTGGATCTGGGATAAAAAAAAAGCATTAATAAAGGCAATTGGGGCACAGGAAACAACTAGTAGGAGAGTTGTGCTGGCATAAAGAGTTTGTGAAGGCTGGGGCTATAAAATCAAGCTGGTACCAGATTGTATAGCTCCTTAATGCCAGGAGGAGGAACTTGTATTTAATCCTAGAGAGAACGGGGATTCACTGATGGTTTCGCAA